CCCCCCCCCAATTTATAAACACATCTCACAAAATAAAAAAGCCAAACAAGTCTTTGAGATATCACTGAAACAGGTAAGACTTTTTAAAAATCTACCAAAATCCAAAATCCTGCTGCAATCCCAGGACTCCAGGTAGGAAGACTATGGTAGGTTTTCTCTAAAGAACACTATTGTTTTCCCTACAGAATAATACCTGACTGGGGAAATATCATTTTTTTGTAAAAACTGGGTTTAAAACAGAACAGGAAAACTATTTTAAATTATTCGAAAGTTTAGATTTTACTCTTGGGCTGCAGTGGGTTTAACTGTCATTGTTCCTGTTGGCCAAGGGTCCTATTCTGATTCACACATACATCAGGCGGCACTGGACTCCACGTGTTCACTCATATAAGCTCCTTCATTGTCACAGTAATCCTGCGAAGGAAGTTTTATTCCCATTTTCCAGCTCAGAGGACGAGGGTTAGGGAGGTAACGATTCGTCTGACCTAACCATGTGGAAATGCCAGGCCTGGGGAGCCCTCCCCTTTCGGACTAGGCTTACCTCTGAGATGGTTCTGCCCCAGGCGTGCGTGCCGTCCTCGGGCCTGCGCCCGTTCAGATACACCCAGACCCGTTTGGCGCGGGGCCGCCCATGCCGGCTGCTGGGCCTGCGGGAGGCCCGCCCGGCTGCGGGTGGAGGAGCTCTCCTGGATCGCCACCCCTGGGCTCCAGGAAGCTGGGCCTGTCAAGAAAAGCCCAGAAACGTCATGCCTAGTGTCGTGTGTGTGCAGAATGTGATGAAAGACAGGAATCTTATGACTGGGAATTACACTGAAGAACATTTTAGGAAGGACATTGCCCTCTCCTGTCCCCCGTCTTTCGTAAACTTCCCTGGCTTGGAAGAGTCGCCGAAGGCAATAATCGTCACCGCAGTGATAATAACAAGGCGCTCATGTTGGCAAAGCACCTAACTTCCATTTATAATTTGAAGTAATTGAATAGAGATGCGTTTTTGGACTTCTGCATGGTGTTTCCCCTACTGAGAAATTTCTCTGCATCTAATGAGTTTTTGATTAGAAATACAACATCATTTCCTTTAACCATGAAACGCTGAAGGGCATGTGCAGGACTGTTGTTTAAGTCCCTACTCTCTGTCTTTTAAAAGACAGCAGCCACCTTACACTTTGCCAGCTCCCTGCGAGGCAGCCTTTCATCCCACTCCAAGCACGGCCTAGTTCAATGCTTTGCCTTTCATTCCCTGGTCAGTGATTTATGCTTCCTCACTTGGCAAGAAGTCATTTTTCTAGCAATGTCAATTTCTTTTCTCTAGCAACCTTGACTTGGGCACACACCTACGATTTAGATTGAACACACGCCACGATTTGAGAAACCCTATTAAATAAGAACATATCATTTTAATGAAAACTTCACAGAGCAAAAAGTTTTCCCAGGTCTCTATTCCCGATCCTCTCTCAACAGCTGACCTTTCTCTTCTCGCCTGTTTTATGTCTAGCGATCCTGACCGATTAAGCAATTGGATTGAAACAGCTTTTTGAATTCCTCACTTCTGAATGTCTCCGTTGCAATTAGTATTTTGCTCCTTGCTCTTTTTACATACTGAGACATACCCTTAGGAATGATTAGCAATGAAGCCATAAGGCTCAACTTGAATACACTTATTATAATCACCTTTGTACATATCCACTGGGCCTTTTTTCCTTCTTGGTTAAGGCCATAATTTCTGGTCTCCACTCAAACAAAACAGACTTCCCTATGAGCTGGATGTCTTTTAGATAGCTACTTTCCAAATGCCAGCTCAAGGCTTGGCATATGCCTACATGGTCATAAGTGACCAGATGCTGAGAACACATTAATAGCATCATTTTAAAATTTAATACTGTACTTTTGAAAGTGTATAATAGAGGCAGAGTCTTTAATGTTTTGAGTCCTCCAGAACATACCTCTGCATGTCTTATATGTTCCATGAGTTTAATTTCCTCTTGAGTCTGCTCAGTCCAGCCTCCTTCCATCACCACTGGCTGCACAGGGCTTTTGTTGGGAACCATGGTGGCCGGCTGACATGCTGCTACTCGCCGCCCTGGGGAAAGAAGTCTCTGGAAATGTTGTTTCTGGTGATGAGCTTTCAGATTTCAAATAAATTGGTTTGGTTTTCTATGCATAAATCATTCTGCTTGGGAGCATAGGCTCCAATGCTAAATATATCATAAAAACAAAGATGCCTAAGGTAATAATATCTAACAATGCCCCTTCACGTGGGAGCTTGAGGTTTCAAACAGCCAGGCTCGCATGCTCGCTGCGCAGATGGAAAGGAAAGGAAAGGAAACACGCTGGCTTCCACACTGGCCCGGCCTCTCTTCCACGAGACGGTTCAGCGGTAATTTAGTCAAATAGGATCCATGACCTGTAGAGCCCATCAGCTCTTCCAGTCATGCAACATATGTTTTTTTCACTTCACTAATAAGAAGCCTTTCCCCCACAATTAGCCTAGCAGCCTGGGGATTAAGTATTTCTAAAATAATGTTAACCCAAGAGACAGGAGGCCTTTTTATTCTATCTAATAATACCCCGTGAGCACAATTAGTTTCTAACACCTCTGCTGTGCCCTTTAGGCTGTTAAGAAGCTGTGGGAAGAGAAAATATTTATTGGAATACTGTATTCCAAAGAATCACACGCATAATTTAATAAGTGTGGTGATTTGAATGTATGCATTCTTTCAACTAGACCACTTACAGTAATTATTAAAGAGGCTTTAATAATTGTGCGAAAAGTCATACTTATGAATTTTTGTGTGTGTGCTGAAGACATACTCAGCACTGAGTCTCATGCTGATCTCTAAACTTCTTAAGTAAAAATAATGCATTTCCTTGTATGTTTCTCCCAGAAACCTACGTTGACTGAGCAGCAGCTATGGGTCAGGCATTGTGCTGGATGATGCAAATACAAATATGTTCGAGACCAGATGCTTGCCTCAAAGGCTTACACTTTGGTGGGAAAGGCAGATGTCAACGAAATGATTACAACAATACTTGATTGCAACTGTGCTGCACCAGGGACACACAGGGCCTATTAAAGCATGTAACAGGAGCTGCTGACCTAGTCTGAGGTCTCAGGGAAGGCTTCTTGGAGATAGTAACATTTAGGTGGATATAATAATAAAAATACTAAAAATGAAGTTGAGTCCTAGTTGTGTTGCCAAGGCACTCTTAATGCGTAGATTTTCAGAATATGACTATAAACAAAACTGTTTAAAAGTAATTCAGTACTTGCAGAAGATAAAGCATTTGTGTTCTTGTAGCTCAAGTTTGTAGAAATAGATACAGTAATAAAAATAAGTGGCAGCAATGACTTTTCATAGAAACCAAAATCCTATGTACCTAATAAGCATTCATACGCAATTTATGAAACATAATTGAACCAGTCAGCCAATGAGCTACAGTGGCAATGCCATTACACAACATACTTTGGGGAAGACACAGTGGTAACAGAAAAACACATAACAGAAATTTATGCACTAAACATAGTTTTTAGCCAACTCTATTCATAATGTGAAGACAACATTAATTTATGACACAAATTCTTATGGATAATATTTCAATAAATATTTTATTTATAATGCACTTTGAACACTAGAATTTTGCTCAGTTAATGAGAGTGCAGCAGTAGTTTATCACTTGCACTATTGAGAGCCAGGATTTGAATATAGGAAAGAGCAAAAACCATTATTTGTTTTCTGTCAACTTGCTTCTAATGGTCTTAAGAAAATGAATACACCTTCACTATAACTGTCATAAAGAGACATAATGTCATCACAAAAGGTTCTGGTTTGGGGAATGGTTTTCATAACAAACTATTATTTATGTAGGTGAGAATACTGAAATCAAGCAAAAATGTATTGAATAAATTATGTTTATTTTCTTACTACCATTTTCTATATATCCTATTTTATTTCACACAAGATCAAGGGAAAGCAATGATAATAGCCAGCTATTAATGGGGAAAGCTAGAGAACATGAGTGCTTTGCTGTTCTTTCAGACTATAAATCTCAACTATGCAACCTGGACAGCTTTCCCCATGCCCCTCCCTGTTTCAGCATCATCTGTGCCTGAGAGGGTAAGTCTACCTTATTTGGGATTTCATTTAGCAGCTCCATTTAGTTATCACACTAAATAAAATGATCTAGCATTGTCTTTATATAGAACAAAGGTGATACTTTGGCCTGATGTGCCATTCTTTACCTTTATTTATCGGTGTGTAATACCCCAAGTGGGAACATGGGCTGCCTTCTCAGGAACCCCTATTCTAATATTTATTGAGTATGTATTATGTGCTAAGCATGGTGCAGCTGACATCTGTTACTCAATCATAAAAGCCCTAAGAAGTATTGTGATTAACATTAGTAATGGTACATAGTATATGCTCAATAAACATGTGTTGCCTTTACCAATGACTATAATAATAGGAAAGAATCGACTCAGCCATTCTTCATACCTCGCATACCTCCTCTTTCGTCCAGTCCTCAAAAGGCTCACAATCCAACAAGGACTGCAGTTAACTGGACTTAGACCTATTCTTCTTTATCCTTGTAATCCCCCAAACTAGAAAAGCTCTTCCTCAGAGTAGGTATTTTATATGTATGTATTGAATTTACATTTAATAGCAGATAACATAACAGCTTGTGCAAAGACCCAAGATTTATCTTAGCACTAAATTCTATGAGAAACTACATCATTGGATTTCTCCATAATGGAAATCATCTGACCAAATACTCTTCAAAAGTGATATTATAGATCATGCCGCCTGAACCCTAAATGCCCTTTTAACACTTAATTATAATAAAAGCTGAAGACTTGATATAAAGTCAGAATTCAGCCAAGGCAGCTCTGCCAGGTGCTATCCTCAGTATGCTGCTTTGTATTGATTTAACTCGGTACCGGAGCAGAGCTGAGAAAACTTGCTGGAGTGAATGGTTGAAAATCCGTTCATTCTTTCATTCGATCTTTCTAAAACCATTCAGAGAACAAATAAGAAAAGTATATAATGTATAACATAACAGAGGAGAGACAGTCACACGTTACATGACCAGGTAACTATACTAAGGTGGTAAGGGCTATCGGAGAAGTTCGGGGTGTGGTAAACCACATGATCCCTGACTTGGAATGTCGGGGAAAGTGTTTAGAAAGAAATAACAAGTAAGCTGAAAAGTATAGAATGAGAGGGAGCAATCCAAGAGGACAGGAGAGGAAAAAGCTTGGGCAGAGGGGTCTGAATTGTGCAAAAATCTCAGAATTAAAAGAAAGCACCTGGTACGTGTGGAGGACTGAAAAATTTTAAAAAATGGGTGGAAGGGAATTGGTGAGGCAAGAGAGAAGCTTACAGAGAACCATGGAGGGCCACATTAAGGAGCTCCAACTTTGTCCTAAACACAGGGGAGCTCTGAAGTGGGGGGTTTTCTGCCTGGAATACCATGACGCCTTTGCATTTTTGCATGATCGCTCCTGCTCTGGAATGTCACCATTACACATCGAATGGAAACTACTGTCAGGACTGGAGGCAGGGAGACCAGTTAGAAAGCTGCTCTAGTAATCCAAAGAATAGGCCACAATAGCTTTAACTTGGGCAATGACAGTGGGATTAAGGCTGTTAGAATTCATTTGAGATAAACAATAGATTCAAAGCAACAAGAGCCACTGATGCTCGCTTGGAAAGTGAGAGAGAGATGCCTACGAGGACTCCCAGGTTTCTGAGATGAAACTCCTGGGTGGATGGTGGCAGTGTCCACTGTTGGAAGAAATGAAGGAGGTAGGTGTGGGGTGATATGATAACTTTAGTTTTGGACATACCCATGGGACGGACACTCAAGTGAAAATGTCTGGCAGCAGTCATAGGTTCTTTTCACTTAGACTCAACAATTCCTTTGGTAAGAACTGAATAATAATCATTTAACTCGGAGTTCTGCTTAGTGCACTTGAGTAGTTGTGTTGTTTATTGAAGCAAGATTCACATGCTCTAACACCAGGCAGTGCACACACTCAGGAGATGAAACTCGCCATGGCAATCAGAGCCTGAAAGGTGCTCCTTCCCAGCCTAAATTCCATAGCGCAGTTTCTCTCCCCAAAGGACCACTGCGTATCTGAAGTGCTAGGCCAGGAACTTCAGACTCTGGGACAAAAACATATGGAAGATCAATTGCCAATTGATCACTTTGCCTATGGATAGCATATCTTACGCTGCATGACAAGAGGGAGCTCTTCTGGGACACTGACAATGATCTTTGAAGGATTTAGAACTTCCTCCCTCAGATTATTTTCAAAACTTCTTCCATAGCAACACCCAAGGCATGACAGCAAGTTTTGTTCCAGGATTAATTCCAAAGCCCACAGAATGTCAGTGCAGGAACTGTTTCGAACCAATAGGGTGTTATACGATCCGGACAACTTCCTAACTTTTTAATGTATATATAAATCATGTGATATTTATTTTAATATAAAATTTACAAATATAAAATTAGTACTGAAACAACATATTATTAGGTTTTAGACCCCCTCAAGTGACTTTTGTAGCACTACATGTGTACATATATAATTCAGTTAAACATCTGGTACCTAATGGTAAAAAAAAATTTGTTTAGAATTAAGCATGGTGATACGTGATTTAATTCATACTGACCTTTTAACTGTCTCATTTTGTGTTTCATAGTGTCTAAGTCAGCCAAAATGTTGTCCTTTTTTAGCCAATTCTGTTTTTCTAATTTTTTTGCTTTCTGCAAAGCTGGAGTAATAAAAATAGATGATATTTTATTTTGCATTCTTTTATCAACAGCGATTTATCATGCAAGCCAATAATTTATAAAGAACTTTCTGCTCCAAGAAATAGATTCAATTAGAAACAAGTAATTAAAAGGTAAGGGTCATTAAAAGAAACCTCATTTGAAAGATGACAGGGCTTAAGGCATTTCTTTATGGAATGCAGGGGGAGAAGGAGAGAACAGTGCTGTTTTATTATATAGATTTACCATATGCAATAGCCATATTTCATTTTCCACTTCCACAAACTATTTGGAGGTGATGAAAGCCTGGCTTGGAACCACTCATTTTTTAAACATCCACCTACTGCCTAAAGGGTGCAATTCTTAAAACTGAAAATGTGCAGACAGGTCGTCTTCAGTGTGAATTAAACTCATTTGTTATTTTCTAATGTATACCATTATTCTCAGTCTTTATAGACCAAGGATCTCTTTATCAACTAAATTAGACATTTTTCCACGCAGAATACTCCGTTCCAGTAAGAAAAAAAGGCAATTGTGCAAATATAGGAATCTAGCTGTCCTTGTGCACATTAATTGATAGACTTCCTGTTCTTTGCATAAATGTGATGTGATGTCGACATTATACACATTCAATTCATTTTCTTATAAATTTATTTCTGTCTCCCTTCTTACACTTGCTTGAAAGAAAGCAAAAACAAAAACCTTACCACTGGGAGATAAAAATGGTTCCCCACAAGATACCCAGATGGCAATTGGATTTCTGTGAAAGTGGGTCAGCAAAGACTCATCTATACCATCCAAACTATCCAATGTCACAGGCGTTGGAAATAATTTGTTTTTCACTCTCAGTCTTGGGTTTTCTGGGAAACAAACATCACATTTACCATTGTCCAATGGAGAGAGAGATTTATATACATGAATTCATACATATACTCTTATGAACACACAGTCATATTTATGAGGACCGAGTCAGTATATATTCATGTGAATGTGCACCTGGCCCTCACAATACAATGCGCTAGGAGCTGCAATCGAGGCACACTTGCTGGAGCTCCTGGGAGTTAGGAGGAGCAATGGGGATGGGCAGGAGCGAGCAAGGGAACCTGGAGGGCAGGAGGTATGGGTGCCTTCTCTTCAAATCATAGGAAAATACTTGCATTGATTCAGCCCCACTTTCTTAAGTGGTCTCCTGTTGGTTTGGGTTCTGAATTTAAGAACAAAAGCTGCTCAGGTTGCATAAATTAGCTAAGCTGTCAAACATATTTTATAAAGTCCAGGCATTTTATTTATTGATTTGGTGCTGAAACCAATTTTACATTATTTTAACTTTTCCTTATGATTCTGCAAAGTAAAAACAATATGAGAATCTTATATGTGAATATCTTCCTATGATTTTGTGATCCTAGAAGAGGTGATTGGATAAAAGAATCACAATTTACTTTCTTAAAAGCAAATGTAAGCAGAGTCAGCTCAATCTTGTAGAATGTAATTAGCCTTCCATACTTTTAATAGCCGTCTCCATGGCTCCAACAGAGGCTGCCTCTTTCTTCTGTTCCTCGGAGCCTTTGTGGATAAAAGGTTCATCTAGAGCCCATAAAACCAAATCACGCAAGGAAAGGATTGGGGTTCCATCTTTGGTATATACTTTGGAGGCTGCTCGGGCAAGGCCAAGCTGTTCCGTGCATTCTGTAAGAAGCTAGACAAAACACACTGTGAGGAACTGAGAGGAAACAGTGACAGAACTGGAATAATCATGAAGAGCTTATTATCTTAGAAATGGGAGAAAATCCTTTAATCTGAGAAAGCAGAAAGCTGAATAACTGCCAATTTGATCTTTGATTAGAGACAATTTTTGATATTAGATTGTTCTCCTTAATCTCACACAGTGTGAGTCCAATACAGCTGTGAACAGTCTTAGCTCCAAAAATTTAAAACAGGAGCTGATGTATTTCCTTAGGGTATTTTTTTAAAAAAAAAACGTTTAACCTAGAAATCTACTTTTAATTTTGTTGCTTTATAAGGTATGAAATTGTTGCCATCATCTTGATAAACTGCTTTAAAAATAAATGAGTAGCTGACTTTCAAACCAAAAGCTGACATACATTATGACATCCATTTTGCAGATGGGAAAACAAGCTAAAAGAATAATTTTGCCAAAGATCACAAAAGCCAGCTGTGGGTCCCAGGATGAACCCTGGAGTAGCAACTTTTGTACTTTGCTTTTTCCATTGAACAACAATATCTTCATTTAAAAAAATCTATTTATATTCAACCAAAGAGGTGAGTTAACAAGTATGTGTGTGTGTGAGTGTTTGCAAGGGAGTTCCAAGGCTAAAGCCATATCATATATAACAAACATTACTTATAAATTATGTCGTTAAGGGTATTGACAAGATAATCACCAGACACAGAAGAACAAAGCTGGGTGTGGGCCTTTGGGGCTCTCTTCCTTTCCTGTGACTATAGGGGACAGCCTCTAAGACAGAAACCACACATTCCCTGCTAGCACAGCCCCAGCTTCTCCAATTTGAAAATCAAACAAAACATCCTATAAACAAATAAGTGCTCAGATTCTCCAGTGATAAGTGAGGTGGCATCTCCTAAAATATGCAGATGACATACAACTTGAAGTCAGAATGAGAAGGAAGGGAAAAAGGTGTTCTGTCTATCACAAAAGTGAAAAAAATCCGGTCGTCTGGTTTTCCCCTTGCTTTTGTGTATCTTTGCTCTGGAGCCAATCTGAAAGCCATATTCTGGTTTCTCATTTTCCTGAGATCGTATCCAAAGAAAGACACTAAAAAATAAAATCTTCAAGAAAACCGAGATCTTGATCTTACCATCGTAGATTGGTGAAACCGGCGGGGACATTTATCACTCAATCCCACCGCTGTTTCCTTGTCTAAGAATCACCATCATCATTACCTCTGAGGGTGCAAGAAGCATTTAACTGATAGGCACTTACCATGGGGAACGTTTCGGCCACAATTAACTTCCCGTTTCGACACCCATCTCCGTTTTTGTATGCAAGTATTTTCACTGCCCTCTGGTGCGTAGCTGCCGGGCCACCAGGAGACGCAGCTTGCGCGCGGGTCTTCATCCGTAAAGAGAATAGCTGCTCTTCGTAATAATGGAGAGTTTTCTCAGCCTCGTAAGAAGACAAATCAGCCTGATTTTTAAAAAGAAAAAATCATAGGTCTACTCAAGCTTTTGTTTCTTGGTATAGTTCAGTCTCTCGATTTGACAAACACATGAGCGTACCTATGGCGGCATCTAAACGCTGAGATGCTCACCTCCTGTGCCAGGGGCACTGGGTGCCGTGGTGGGAGGACACGGGCCCGAGCTCTCCCCCCAGCCTGTGGCCGAGCCTCTGGGTGAGCTTGGCCTCTGGCTGTGCTCCTGGCCGTCTCCTGTTTTCTACTTTGCCTTCTCCTATGACAGGAGATGGGGAAGGAAGCCAGGGCCAGCGAGAGCCCGGGGCTGGGGTAAGGGGGCACCAACAGCGCAGATACTCTCTTCTAACGTTAGGACGATGCCCTCCCGGGGGCGGATACTGACGAACGGGGGGG